TGCAAAATCTAATTCAATACAATTAAAAAAAATCTGTATCCTGATTACACAGGTGATCTGGTTTCACACAAAAAAAGTCTGCTTTTTTGTTTATATTTTTTTTATTTTATATTTTTTTATTTACATTGTTTCACAGTTTCTGTTCCTTGTGTTAATCATTACTCCACAATTAATAGTTCAATTTTTTTTCATCTGTCTGTGTGTGTCTACAGACTCCAGTACAAACAGCAAATATAATGATGTGCTGTATTATTTAATAGCATAGAATAGCCCTTTATTATCACTGTACATGTACAACAAAATTGTGTTTTTTGTTTTTTTGTAGATTTATGTAAAATGTAACTGATGCCGTGTTCAGACATTAGTATCAGGAGAAAACACTCATCTTTTTTGCTTTTTGGTCATAAACAGGTGACATTTTGCTGGTGTACTCTTTTACTTTGAAAAGGATGTAAACTCACATTTCATTTCATTTGAAGATACAAAAGCTACTTTAAAATAAGAAAGTAGTATAAAAGTATAAAAGATGTGGCTTCCTGTGTAGCTATCAGGGGAACTGCTGGAGCATCGAGTCTCCACCAAAACCCGAGTTGAAATTATCTTGGGACATTTAAGACACCGTGAAAACCACCAACACACACATACATAGCCCTCTGATTTTAATGGACACTGAGACATTGAGATAATTCTTGCCCTGCAAGCCCCTTTGCCCCCTGTTACCTCCCCTACACACACTCCGAGACACACACTCCCGCCGCATCATCACCAGCCTCTACCTATCCGTCTCTCCCTATCAGCTGCTCCCTGCTGCCGTTGTTTTGAGAGGTCAGAGCTGTTTGTTTGCTCGGAGGCCCATCGTCTGATAGCACGTCGGACTACGCCTCCCCCTCCTGCCTCATCTTAACCTTAGCTGTTATCAGCCGACTCCCCGGGCAACTCCAACCTTGTCTTTTAAAAGGAACACTTCCCCAGGAAATTATAGAGAGACCCGGGCAGATAGACTAGGTCTCTATCTCTTATGGTGGAAACCCCAGAACAAACTGGATGACACTCGGCAGCTTCGGGCTGATTCCAGTTTGTCCAGGTTCAAATCCGTCTCATGACCTCTGATTGTCATCTCAGGTTCTGCCCTCCAAGGAGTCACTGATTGAGAATAACTGGAGATTATCTGTAGCCTCGGTTTTTTATAGATAACCTAACAAGTAGCCTGTCCAGCCCTGCTGGTTGCTCGGGCCGACAGATTATTACAGCCCATACTTGGATTTCATTGTGACAGCACCCTCTATTTTCCACAGTGACTGGAAAAGGAGGACGTGAGACCAATTTGTCAAGCCACAAAATTACAGTCATACTGCACCAAAGTAATTAAGTAAACAATTAGAATAAATAAATTAATAGATAAAAATTAAATGACAGTAACAATTCCTGTTTTTTCTTGATTTGCTAGTGAAATGTTTGTTTGTTTAATGAGCTCACAATAAAAGTTTCTGTGACCTAAAAAAACCTTACATGACCATCTGAGCAATGAGCTACCAGGACCTTTTCTCCTGTAATTTCACACCTTTATTTCTTACAGTGTAAGTCCAAAAGAGTCCCATTTCTTTCATTTACTACAGCATGACTTCTTTATAGTGTAAGCTGTTCAAATTGCACTTCTTCATCTTATGAGATGAAGAAGATATGTGAGGGAATATGTGTAGTTAAACTTCTCAGAGGATTTTCACTCGTCCGGCCCAAGTGCCGGTGCAACAAAAATATTTCAGTCTGTTCCCAATAAAAATTTAAAAATCCAGCAGTTCCAGGAATTTTGTATAATATAAGAAAAGACCAAATCCAAAAAAAACTTTGCAAAGCAAAAGATAATCATCAGCATGTGAGGGCCCGAAGGCATTTGGTTAAAATAGAAACCAGTGCATGCTAAAATAAAAGTAATTTTCTTTAGTTTTGCTCATTTATTCAATATTTCGTAACATAAACAATGACTCTCTGACATAAATCCCCTTCTGGGGCTCAGAAACCTCTCCCTCGCTACAGCGCCAAGTCATCTGGCTCGTCACAACTGGATGTGCAACCATCCGTGTGGCCTTGAGAGAAGAAGGGGAAAAAACTGTGATAAAATTACTTCCCCAACACTGGATCAAACCCTGCAGAAAGGGGAGCACCAGCCACCTGATTAGGGAACACCGAGGAAATGAGAGAAGCAAAGAGGTCCATTCTCTTCAGGAGTGGGAGGAGAAAACTTGGAAGAAAGAATGGGAGGGGATGAACAGAGGGGAGTTGTAAGTGGGATAACTTGTCT